CTGTGAGGGGAGCGGGGCACTGTGGGATGGAGGCGGTGTGAGGGAAGGAAGTGCGCGGTACACGGCAGGATGGAGGCGGTGTGAGGGGACAGGAAGCGTCCCGTGAGGGGACGGAGCGCGGGGAACGGCCGGATGGAGGCGGTGTGAGGGGAGAGAAGCGCGCGGGGCACGGTGGGATAGAGGCGCTGTGAGGGGAGCAGGGCACGGTGGAATGGCGGCGCTGTGAGGGGAAAGAAGCGCGCGGTGCACTGTGGGATGGCGGCGCTGTGAGGGGAACAACTCGCGGTGCACTGTGGGATAGCGGCACTTTTCCAATTTTTTTTTTTTAATCATATTTAGTTTGTTCTTTTATGCTGTTAGTAGAGGTTTGCTTTTTTCCCGCTATTATTTAAAGTATTATTTTCTTTGTTTTTAATAACAATTCATAGGAAAAAAAATCAAATAAAATGTTCCTCTGTCTCTGAGCTACAGAACCTTCAGGTGCCCGGCTTTAAAATCAAGCAGCTTTTTGTGCTCTTAGAGGCAAGTTTTGCTGTTTATTTGTCCCAGAAGGTCACAAAAAATGTGAGAAGCCAAAATCACTGAAATATCCCCCATCCCTCCTGTCCCTGTTCCCTGGGATAAGATCCCAAATTCCCCCTGAGCCTCCTTTTCTCCAGGCTGAGCCTTCCCCAGCTCCCTCAGGATTCTCCAAACCCTTTCCCTTCCTCTGGATGATCCCACAACCCCACCCACTGCTCCTGCGCCTCATTTAATTAGAAATTAATTTCTAATTAACATAAATCCCAACCTGTTTGATCCCATTCTTTAAATAAACCATGGAAGGCACAGAGCTCTGCAGGGACACCAGAGTGAGCAGCCTACCTTTAATCCCTTAAATAGAATCATACAAATATAAAATGGAAGAATAAAATATTTACAGGGAGAAAAAAAAAAAACAAAAACCCCAAAAACCACGGGGATTCCACCCAATCCCATCTCCAAGAGGCTGGAAAAGAGGGAAGCAGCCAAAGGAGGAACATTCCAGGTGCTTTTCCTTCCTCCCAAAATGATCCCGGCCGTGTGTGGGAGGCTCACTCCAGTCCTTCGGCAGGGAGGGATCCTCAGAAGCGAGAGGCACTTGAAGCAATCCTCCTTTTCCCAAATTCCTGCAGGCAGCCAGGAGGAATTTTGGCTGCCTAGCCCAGGATCCCGGTGCCATCAGGAAAGAATCCCCCTGGCTCATTCCGAGTCAGGCTCTCATCCTGGCAGAGTTTGGTCCAAAATCCTGACCCGGCTGATCCCTCTCGTGGTTTTTCCTGAATTTCCCCCAATTCCGAGTCCAGAGGCAGCGTCCATCCGGCAGTTCCAGAGTTGACATAGTAACTCCAGCATTTTTGGGATTCAGTGTCCAGGAGGGAGCTGGGATGGCTCTGGAGATGGGATCCGTGTCCCCCCCCGACTCCGAGGGAATTCCAAGTGCTTTGTCCTGTCCCGTGCGGGACAAACTCCCCGGAATTTCGGGATAACTGAGTGCAGACTCTGCCTATTCCTAACAATCCAACTGTACTTCCAGCTGGGAAAAAGGATCCCCATCACAGATCCAACAATATTTACAGGATATGGGGGCACGAGGGTGGGGGCGGAATTTTGCCTTTTTTTTTTTTTTTTCAGGAATTTTTTTTTTTGGTGTCGCGGTTTTTTTTCCGCTTTTTTTTTTTAAAAAAAAAAAAAACCCAAAAAAAACCCAAACTCCCCCTCTCAGCTGTCAATCATCTCCGAGAGTTCCAGCAGGAGATCATCCTCATCCTTCCCTGGATCCAGGTCGATTTCTGCTTCCAGTTTTCCCCCGGAGATCTCCCAGATGAGCTTCTCGAAGTCGTCCTCCATGGACAGGGCGGGTTTGGCGGCGCCGGCGGAGCTCAGGCGCCGCAGCTTCACCGGCACCTCCAGCGAGGAAGAGGAGAAGGAGGAGGAGGAAGATCCGGACACCTCCGACTGTGCCTGAGATTCCCCCTGGTTTCCAGCCTGCAGCTCGGGGCTGGGGAAAACAGGGAAAAGGGAGAAATCAGCGTGGGAGGTCACTGAGGTGGAGATGGATGCTGGAGTTTTACACAAGGGTGGGGATTCTGGGGGTTTTGGGGATAATTGAGAGGCTGGGATTGGTTTTGGGGGAGTCCTGGATTGGTTTTGGGAGTCCAGGATGAGCGGGATCGATTCAGGGTTTGGGGATTTAGCCAGGAGTAAACGCAGCTGGAATGTGGAGGGAAAGAGGAAAGAAGGAACCCCAAAGTCACTGGAAAAAAACGCAAAAAGTCAATAAAAGCTTATAAACTACTGGGAAGAAATCCCAAAAAAAATCACTGAAAAGAAACCCCAAAGGTCACTGGAAAGAAAGCCCAAAAAAAACACTGAAAATAAACCTCAAAGGCACTGAAAAAAACCCCCCAAAAAGTCACAGGGAAGAAATCCCACAAACTCACCAAAACCCCAAAAGTATCACTGACAAAACCCCCAAAAAGTCACAGGGAAAAAACCCCAAAAGTCACTGGAAAGAAATCCCAAAAAGCCCCTGGGAAGCTTTGTCCAAGTGCAGCGTTTGAAGGAAACCCAAACCAGCTCTGCTGCACAAACGGGAATTCCAAAAATTCCATTCCAGCTTTCTCTGCTGGATTTTGATTCCCTCAAACCTGGAATTTCCCACTCGTGGTCACCCCCCCCATCCCATTCCTGGGATGAGGAAGAAGAAGGAAAAGCTGGGATTTGGGGTTACCTCTTCTGGGAATTCTCACTCCGAGGTTTGGAGCCCGGGCTGTCCTCTGGAGAAGCGGGAACAACAACCTGGGAATGAGGAGCACGACAATTTTTATGATATCAAAACCCCAAATTTTAGGATTCTTCTCCACCTGAAGCAGAGAATTCCCAAAGTAAAGGATTTTCTTTTTCTTGAAGGAACTTTTACCTCGGAATGGACAAAAACCTAAAAAAACCCCCTAAAATCCCAGCGGGGAATCCTTGAGCTGCTTCCAAAGCAGGAATGTGCTGCTCCCGAGGTGAAAAGGGATGGGAGAGCTGGAGGAGGCTGAAGTTTTCCAGGTTTTTTTGGGAAGCAGGAGGGGTTTTGGGGCTCACCTGGGCTGAGGGCTCCGGGGTGGCCGCGCTGGTGGCACCGAGTGGCCTCACAGCCACCACGGCCGGGCCCTCGGGGCTCTTCCTCTTCAGGGGCTGCCTGGCTGAGGCTGGGCCATCCAGAGGCTTCAGGCACACCTTGGATTTGGCTGGAATGCAGGGAAAAGGTGGAATGATGCAGCTTGAGGGAAAAAGGAAGCCCCAGGTTTTGTTGTTAAGCCCCAAATTGCAGGCTGGGTTGGGGTAGGATCAGGAAGGGGCACCCTCCGTGCTCCAGGGATGCTCCCAGGGTGATCCAGCCTGGCCTTGGGCACTGCCAGGGATGGGGAAACCAGGGATTCTCTGGGAATTCCATCCCATTCCCTCAGCACCTTCACAGGGAGGAATTCCTGCCCCAAATCCCTCCCTTTTCCCATTTTAAATCCATTCCCTGTGTCCTGTCCCCCTGCTCTTTATCCCAGAACTCTCCTGGGGCTCCTTTTTCTCCTGGAAGGAGCTCTCAGCTCTCCCTGGATCCTTCTCCAGGTGAAAATTCCCAACATTCCCACCTCCACAATTCCAATCCCTGCAAACATTCCCAACCCGCTTCATCCTGCGGGCACCATTCCCACCAGGAATTCCCCCATTCCCTGGACACAACCCACTGGAATTCTTCCATCAATCCCTGCTCCCAGAACATTCCCAAAGGGAACACCCAACACCTACTTCTGGTTTTCCTCTCGGGCAGCTGAGCTCCCTTTTTCCCTGGATCTTTCTCCGGGCTTCCCGCTGCGTCCTCCTGGGATTTCCCCACTTTCCTCCTGCCCAGCTGATGAGCTGATCCCACAGCAGGCTCGGGGCTCCCAGATCCCGGGGTTTTCTCCTTGTTTTTCTCCTGTTTTTCAGCTGGAATTGCCCCAGCTCCTTTCTGGAGTTTCTCCTCCTGGCGTTGTTTCAGCTGACGTTTCTCCCACATGATTTCCTCCAGGCTCTTCACCTGAATTCCGGAATTCCCTGAATTCTGAGAAGGAAAAAAATAAACACCCCCAAGAGGGTTATTAGGGTAAAAATCCATGGATAAAATTCCATGGATTCACTAAGGAATTTTGGGCAGCAATCCCTTCAAAATGGCTCCATGTGACAACATTAAAATCCACTTTTTTTTTTTTTTTTTTCCCCCCAGGATCCCCCCTGTGGAAATGCACTTTTAAAACTGCAATTCCCAAAAAAACCCCAAGTTTTCATGGAGCAGAAGGCTCTGCCTGTAGCCTATCCAATCTTTTTAGGGAATATAAAACAATCCAAGCTCCTCCACGGAGCCTGATTTCCTCTAAAATTCCAACTTTTTGGGTTGAATTATCCAGGATTTTAAAAATGGGGGAAAAAAGAAAATTAAAAAATTTTTCAGGGAAAAATCACCGAAAAGAAAAATCTTTTGCCCACCTCTGGTTTTTTATTGTCAGGTATAATCTAAATAATTCATTAATTAGTAATGAATTAATTCAAAGGGAGGATTTGTTTACTTGGAATTTTCCCGACAGCATTTAGGGTTTCACCACAACCCCCCAGTGAGGAAAAAACAGGGAGCAGGAAGCAAAAAATGCCAAAATTGTTGGGAAAATTTCTTATTTTATGCCCAAAATGCTCTGAAATTCAAGTTTTGATGAGGAATTTGTTCACTCACCTCAGCAGGCGCAGAGACCCCTTTGGGAGAAGGTTTGTTCAGCTCCACAATCATTTTTTCTTCTCTTCCAGGTGCTTTAATCCAGGAAAAAAAAAATCCAAAAATTGGTTTGTTGGTTTCTTGGGGGTGTTATTTCCCTATTTTTATGAACATGAATCAATTCCTGCAGGATTTTCTCTCTTCTTCAGTCCCAATGTGGATTAAATAACGAAGGATGAAAATTTTTAATGCCCTTGTGCTGATAAATCCTTCCCAAATAATATTCCAAAGGGGAATGGAATGGATTCCAGCACAGGGAAGACCCCACCTCACAAATCCAAGGGCAGAAAAAAGATGGAATTTACACCAGAAAGCTCTTAGAAGAATGAATTTTCCAGTGGAAAACACAGGAAACTATCATGGAATTCATGGAGAATCCCGTGATCCTTTTAAAACTCTGAAACCTTTTCAAACGCACCCAGAAGGACAAATCCAAACAGTTCCTGAGCTGACAGGATTCATTCCCGGGGGGAAGCAGAATTCCCGGGGGGGAAGCAGAATTCCCAGGGGGGGGAAAAAGCAGAATTCCTAGGGGGAAGCAGAATTCCCAGGGTGGGGGAAGCAGAATTCCCAGGGGGAAGCAGAATTCCTAGAGAGAAGCAGAATTCCCAGGGATAAGCAGAATTCCCAGGGGGAAGGAAAAGCAGAATTCCCAGAGAGAAGCAGAATTTCCAGTGGGAAGCAGAATTCCCAGGGTGAGGGGAGCAGAATTCCCAGGGGGAAGCAGAATTCCAAGGAAGCAGCAGAATTCCTGCTCACCTACGAGCTTGGTGACCCGGAGCAGCTTCCTGCCCCTCAGGGCTGCCTGGGGCTGGCCGGGAGGGGCCGGGCCGTTCTCCCCACCCTGCTGCATCCTCAGCGCCTTCTCCCTCTTGATCTCCTCCAAGGTTTTGATCCGAACCTCTCCCGTTCCTTTGGCTCTTCCCGGCTCCGCCGGCTGCGCCCTGCCCGGCACGGCTGGAGCAGGAATGCTCTGTTTCCTGGGACCGGCCTCAGCTTTGGCCCTGCCGGGGAATTCCTCGGGTTTTTCCTTCTCCTCTCCCAACCTTTTGTGGTTTTTTTCCGCCAGGGCTCCCGCCAGGGATTTGGCGCGGGCGGCCGGGGAGGGTCTCGCTCCCGAATCTTCCGTTTTCCTGCTTTCTCCCGGGATTTTGGCTGGGGGCTCCCCTCGCCTCTGGTTGGCTTTTTCCAGCCGGATTTCCTCCAGGGTTTTCACCCGGATCTCCTCGATGGGCTTGGCAGCTTTGTCTGCGGGCAGAGACATCCAGGCAGGAAATGAGAGAGAGCTCCAGGAGCGGGAAACGTTCCCAGAATTCCTCCCAGCAATGAGGGAGTTTGGGATTGAGGGCTCTCAGTGCTCCTTGGACTTTAAGGATGATCCAGGGATATCTTTCCCTATCCCAGAGTGCTCCAGCCTGGCCTGGGACATTCCCAGAGATGGAGCAGCCACAGCTCCTCTGGGAATTCCATCCCAGCCCCTCCCAGGGAAGGATTCCTTCCCAAAATCCCATCTAAACCCACTCCCCATCAGTCTGCCCCTCCATTCCCTGGGGATATTCCCTGTCCACCTCTCCTGCAGGTTCTCCTCAGGACACAGTGAGATCATCCCAAAATTCCTCCTCTTCAGGCTGAGCAATCCCAATTCCCTGAACAATCAACTTCCCTCCCTCCTTTAAACCACTTGGATTTAGAACATCAGAGCCAGTCATCCTTTGAAATTCCCAATTTAAGGCTGAGTGGGAGTTCTTAGTAAGAAAACAAAAAAGGAGGGGTATTTCAAATCTCATCTTTACCTGTCTCGGTGCTGCTCTGCTCAGAGGGCAGCCCCAGCCTCTCCTTCAGAGACTTCAGGACTTGAACTGAAAAACAAGAGGAAAAGTTAACAGTAGCAAAAAAATCCCAGTTTTGGGTGGGAAATGAGACAGGAGAGAACCTCAGAGGGATTCAGAGCGACCCCGAACCCTCAATCAATGGGCAAAATCAGCAAGAGAAGAAAGGAGGAACAGAAAATCCAAAGGGAAAACCTGGACAGGAAACCCAGACAGAAATACCAACAGAAAAAAAAACCTGGACAGAAAATCCCAAACACCAACTCCCAACAGAAATTCCATGGTTTTGGTACCTGTGCCTCTCTTTGGGGCCTTGTCAGCATTGCCCTGCAGCTCTGCCTTCCTCCCCAGCCTGTCAGCAACGTTCCTCCTCAGGGGAAGGAAAGTTTTCCCAGCTTCAAAAAGACGGAAGGAAAGTTTTCCCAGCTTCAAAAAGACACAAAATGAGGAATTCTTTCAGAAAATTCCCCTGCAGGAGGGTTTAGAACAATCCCCCAGGAACCTGAATCCTTCCAGATGAATTTTTAATTTAATTTTTCAATTAAATTAAATTTTTTACTTTTTATTTGCTATCAGAATTTGCTGGTTTTGATGTAAATACTCCCCAAAAAGCTCTCACCTGTGAGGGTTTTCCTTTTTCCCAGTCTGTCAGGAATGTTCAGCTGGATCACAGGGTCCTCCCCTAAAACAAGGAATAATCTTTGCAGTGCACCAAAAGCGTTCCCAATCCCCTCATCCCAGAAAAATGACATTTTCTGGCTGCCAAAATGCAGGAACTGAAGGAGGACTGGGAGAAGAAATTATTTTGATGATAAAACTTCCTGAGCTTTAATTCCACACAAATTCCCAACTTTTCCAACACAAATTCAAATCGGGAAAGGCAGCAGCACATCTCAGTTATCCTAATTAGAAAGGATTTGATTCAGGGGCTGTGGGATGGGAATTTTGGGGTTACCTTCCTTGGAGGAGAGGGTCACAGTTCTCAGCACGGTCCGGACGTTTTCCTTCTCCGGCACGGGAATGCTCCGGGCTTGGAGGGGATCCACAGCCACTCCTGAAGGACCTTCTGCATGGAAAAATCAGGATATTCAGCAAATTCTCCTTGGATTTCCCCTTGGAATTCCAAACAGCTCTCAATGCCAGAGCAGCCCCTCCAAAAACATCAAAGTGTCCCTGCGGGATCTCTCACGTTGTAAAAAAAAATTCCTTCCCTTGTGAATTATCCAAGGAAAATCAGGATTAAACCCAAGGATGAACAGTGAAGGATAAGGAAGGAGGGATTTGAGGGATATTAACTCACCACCTTGTTTTTTGGCTTTTTCCTTGAGTTTCTTCAGTTTGATCTCTTCCAAGGTTTTTATCCCAAAATTTAAGTTGTCATCTGGAAGCACAAAACAGTTCAGGATATTGAGGTAAATCCTTCCCAAAATATTGGGAATAAAACCTGTCAACACTTGCCAGGAATTAACCAGCCCCAGAACAGGAGGGATTTTGGAAAAGTGGCAGCTTTTTTTCACCCTCCAGGGGAAAATCCACACACTTTTTGGAGCACAAATTCATGGAGAGGGATTAAAGATTGCTGCATTCCTTGGATCTGGATTTCCACGATGCCTGAAGGGACGTTTTCAGGTATTTAAACTCTTTAAACTCTATCTAAACTCTTTAAACTCCACCTAAACTCTTTTAAACTCCACCTAAACTCTTTTTAAACCCATTTAAACCCTATTTTGTCCCACAAACCCAAACCAGAACGATTTTCCCTGTTTTGGGAACGTGATTAGGTGGGAATGAGCTCCTGGATTCCACTCAGCATCCCTGGGTTCCATTTTATTTTAGGAATATTTTGGTTTTAATTGCCAATTTCTCCTCCCACAGCTCCTGGAATACCTTGCTTTGAACTGGGGTTGGGTTTCCTGGTGGAAATCACCCTCAGCCCGTTGTGGCTTTCTGTGGGTGGTGCCTGGACTGGGGTTTTGGTTTCTTCTCCTTCTTCAGAAAGCTGGTCTGGAAAGGAAAATCAAACCCAAAATTAAATTTTATTGAATTTATTATTAAATTTATGGAGTAGGGATTTAGACCAAATTTCTTTCGTTTTTAGATGGTTTAATATCTCAACCCATCAAAACATTTATGCCTCTTTTCTGAGGCTGAAAACCACTGCTGAATTCACCAATTTTGTGATTTGGATCTCGATTTAAAGCGGAAATAACTGAAATAAATTCAAGATTTCTCACCATCATCATCTTCATCATCATCTGCAGCGTTGATGACCACTGGGGGATGGGTGGGACTGGGGACATTCTCCGAGTTTTCCACCTTCATCACCCCCCTGAGCTGTGGGGAGGGGTTGGACTGGACGGAGAGTTTGTTCTGCTGCAGCTGCACCATTTTCACCTCGTCCTCTGCAGCCTCAGGGGGGCTCGGAAGAGTGGCTGGAAAAGGAAAAATATTCCAAACTTTGACCCTAAAGTTGAAAAATCTGATAAAAGAACACATCTGGGTTCAGTTCTTTATTCCCCACCCATAAAAGGATTAAAGGAGAAGGAAAAAGGAACCTTAAGAACAAAAATCACCCAAGAGAGAGCAGAAACAAATTCCAAAGATCAGAATTACACTCCATTCCCCTGACTACAAACTGCCCTTCAGCCATAAAATAAATCCTTGAGCCTTCACATTCAATTTTATGGAATATTCACCATGAATTCTTGGCTATTTTGAGGAAAAAGGAGGTGGAAAACTCACTTTTGCTGGGGGGAAGGAAGAGCCCATCCACGTAGCGCCCCTTGGTGTGGTGGAAAGCGCAGTTGTGCTTCTGGCAGCCTCCAGGTTGGTTCTCCCAGTAACAGGCGATCTCACTCCGCTTTTTCTGATGGAAAAAAACACAAATCCAAGCTCAGAATTCCCCCCTGGATCTGCAAACTGACTTAGTTTGTCAACAGGGTGAAGTTCATGGCAAAGGGCAGTAAAAAATATTTCAGGGTTTAGAGACAAAGTTTGGGAAATGGAATTTATCTGGATTTATTTCCTATCATTCAGCTGGAAAAGACAGGGCACTGAGTTAAATGAATAAAGAATCCAAAACAATGGGATTATTCACAGGGAAAAATTTCAATTTTTAGATTTCAATTGCTGGTGAAATTCACCTGACTTCATCTTTCAGAGTTTTAGCTCTTTCCCATCTTTTTTTTTTTCCTCCTCACCCTGTACAATTCCAAGAGCTCAGGTTTAAAGTTTGGGGCAGAGAAATTCCAGCTCTCAGGAATCTGTTTCCCACCACTTTTCAGGAGTGGGATCCATGTGGGTGCTCTGGCAGAAACGTCGGGAATAACAGCATTTAAAACAAACATTTCCTGCTGTGAAACAACTTTAAAAATTCATTTTTTTCCTGTCCAACTCCCAAAATCCCTGCTGGAAAAGGCCATTTATCCCCCCCTACATCCCTGGGAAGCTCTGCCAGGGATTTTTTGGGATTTGGGAGGGTTTTTAGGGAGCACTCACATCGATTTCCATGTGCCTGAACCTGCAGACATTCCTGAAGCACCGGCCCTCCTGCCACAGGGTGCACACGGTCTCGCTGCCCAGGGCGGCCTCGCAGTGGCGGAAGGCACAGGAATCTCCCTGAAATTCACAGGAAATCAGCAAAAAATGGGAAAAAAAAAACATTCAGCTTCAAAATATAAACAGGTTTGGAAAGGAGAATAAAGAGGTTAAAAAAAAATGGGATGGGAAAAGCAGAGAGGTTAAAAATGGGATGGGAAAATAACAAAAAAATGGGATGGGAAAAGCAGAGAGGTTAAAAATTGGAATGGGAAAATAACAAAAAAAATGGGATGGGAAAGAAGAGAGGTTAAAAATTGGAATGGGAAAATAACAAAAAAATGGGATGGGAAAAGCACACACATTAAAAATTGGAATGGGAAAAACACACAGGTTAAAAATTGGAATGGGAAAAGCACAGAGGTTAAAAATGGGATGGGAAAACAACAAAAAAATGGGATGGGAAAAGCACTCAGGTTTAAAAAATGGTGTTGGAAAGGGAAATCACCCAGCTTAAAAGAAGTCCAGTTTTCAGAACAGGGAGCTGCACAATTAATGAGTGAAGAGGAATTTGTTTCCTCACTCTTCCTGCTCTTTTATTGGGAATTCCGAAGGGAATGAAGGAATGGCAGAGCTCACCTTGTTGCAGGTGGAGTAGAAGTAGAAGTAGCAGTCGTCTCCCTGGTTGGACATGCTGCAGGAATCCTTGGGAAAGCTCCGGGTTTGCTCCCTGCCAGGGCTCTCCTCCAGCCTGGGCAAGAATTGGCTTCGCTCCAAAGGCTTCTCCTGGCTTAGCAGTGACAGCTTCTTTTTAAAAGTAACCCTAGAGAAAGGGATCCCCAACAAAAATGGTCATTTTTAGGCAGATTTGTCCAAAACTGCAGGAATTTTGTCAGCATAAATTCTTATTTGTGACCTTAATAACAGTTCTGGGTCTTAAGCAGAGAAAAATTAAGGGGGGACCCAAAAGAGAGGCACTTCTTCAAAAATTATGTGTAATTTTGAGTTATTAATGATACAAGAATATTTTATTATTATATTATTTCACACTGTATTATTAATACCATCTGTTCTTAAACAATTGAAATGAAACTTTAATTCGAGGGTGTGACCCAATCTCTTTAAAAATCACATTACCATCATATCTTATTCCATATTATTATGGAATGATATATATTATAAATAGAATATATATTACAAATACTATATAATTATATGCATTATTATATATAATGCAATGTAGTGTACTGTAATAAACATAATAAAAACAGTAAGTCTATTATAATAAATGTAATGGAATATAATGCAATAATATATATTATTATAATAGCACATATGTAATATATATATGGAACATATATTATTCCATATTATTAATATATGTTATTTCTTATTGAAGGTGAATTCAACTTCAATAATTAGATATTACTAACAATTACATCATCACACAATGACACCACACCTCTACAATATCTTAACATCAAACCTGAACACTGGATGCTGAAAGATTTTATTTAAATATTTCCAATATATCAGAATATTTGCAATATATCAGAATATCTCCAAAATATATCCAATATATCAGAATATTTCCAATATATTTCCAATATATTTGAATATTACCAAAATATTTCCAATATACCAGAATATTTCCAAAATATTTCCAATATATCAGAATATTCCCAAAATATCAGAATATTCCCAAAATACTTTCAATATATCAGAATACTTCCAATAGATCAGAATATTTCCAAAATATTTCCAATATATTTGAATATTACCAAAATATTTCCAATATATCAGAATATTACCAAAATATTTCCAATATATCAGAATATTTCCAATATATCAGAATACTTCCAATATACCAGAATATTTCCAAAATATTTCCAATATATTTGAATATTACCAAAATATTTCCAATACCTCAGAATATTACCAAAATATTTCCAATATATCAGAATACTTCCAATAGATCAGAATATTTCCAAAATATTTCCAATATATCAGAATACTTCCAATATATCAGAATATTTCCAATATATCAGAATACTTCCAATATATCAGAATATTTCCAATATATCAGAATATTCCCAATATATCAGAATACTTCCAATAGATCAGAATATTTCCAATATATCAGAATATTTCCAATATATCAGAATACTTCCAATAGATCAGAATACTTCCAATAGATCAGAATATTTCCAATATATTTTAATATTACCAAAACATTTCCAATACATTGGAACATTTCCAAAGTATTTCCACTGTTAATTGGGAATATTTGGATTCATCACACCGAGCATTCCGGCGCTATCCCAGCTCCGCATTCCCGGATTTTTTTCCCCCAATCCCAGTGGATTTTGGAGCTCACCCACCTGGCCAGGCTGAGCACAGGCTTTGATCTTCCCAGCCATGCGGTTCCCCTCTCCTGTAGGCCGAAGGGATCCGTCAATGAATAACAAAGGGGCAGAAAGAATTTTTTTCCTTTTTTTTTTTTTTTGTGTTTTTTGTTTTTCCTCCTGACAATTCCAAGGGAACCTCTCAGCCAACAATTCCAAACTCTGAGGCGCTCTCAGAACAATCTGACAACTAATGGAGGAATTGAGTCCATGGCAAAAGTGGCACGCTGGAGACAGCCAGGGATATTTTAGCTCTTCCAAAAAAAAAAAATTAAAAAAACAAAACCAAAAAGAACCATAAAAAAAAACAACAAAAAATTTTTTAAAAAAATGCCCCAGCGCCTTTTTTTTGTTTTAAAGATGAACTCGGGATTCAAAGTGGCTGCAAAAATGAGGCTCCATCTTCCACAGCTGGGGAAATTTCTAATTTTTTTTTTAATTATTTTTTTTTTAAATTATTTTAATTCAGTAAGTTGCAATTTCAGGTCTTCTGAGATTTCTTCACCTATTAAGAAAACACAAAAACCTTCCCCCGTCTTTATGACCTGCACAGCAAAACCTCCCCCACCCCAAATTTGTGTGTATAAACCCAGTTTTGTGTTTATACACACCCCAAAAGAGGGAGGGACAGCAAAACAAGGAGAAAACCGGCAAAAAAAAAATAAAAATCAGGAATTTTGGCCCATTTCCCACATGGAAGTGCAAGGTCAGTCTCTCACTGGGGGAAAATGAGATTATTGCTGGAATTTTGGATGAGGTGAAGGCGGTGAGAGGGGATTTGGGGACACGGTGACAGCCCAGGGGACAAACACATCCATCCCCATCCATCCATCCCTCGGGAATGCCTCGATCCCTGGTCCAAGGAAAAGCAGGAGCAGCGAGCTTTGGGAAGCAGGGGTTGCTTTGGGAGCGGCGTGGCTGCACGGATTGGGAATTTGGGTCAGGAATTCCTCGGTTTTTCCATCAAATATTACAATTTTGCCGTTTGTGCTGGTCCCTAATCCATTTATCCATCATTATCTTGCTTCGGATCCAATTCAGCAGCTGATTGGGGTTTTTGGTGCCACCAAAAATTGATTTAATTCAATATTATTTTTCATGGGAATCCCACTTTTCTTTTGGATATTCTCATAAAAATCAGATTTTTAGGGTTCTTTTTCCGTACAACCTGCAACCAAACCAGCTAAAATCCAATTAAAAGTCAATTTTACCCCTCTGACATTCCTGTGCAAAGGGTTTCTGACTCTTTGGGGAGGACAAAACCGAATGAGACTGTTCTTTACAGCTTAAGAAGAAATGGTTGGAACCTTTTACTCACACAAACACTACAGTGAATTTTCCCAGGATTTGGTTTTTTTTTTTTGGCCAGGAAATTTTCCCAAATCTAAAATAAAGAGCGGAAAAGTTGGATTCTCATGTTAGTGATTGGGTTTGCTGTTTGTTTTCTTTTTTTTTTGACTGCTTGACAAAGGGAATAAAACAGGAATTAAGTGCAGGGTTCCCTCCCCTTCTTCCATTTCCACAGGGTTAAATTCACTTTTGGACCTTCAAAATCAGATTTTGGGTCATGGAGATTCCCGGGGATCTAATCCTAAAAACTCCTGGAGCTCGTTCTTGTGGAAGTTCAACATTTTTCCAGGTGTTTTCCCCAACGCTCTTGGGAGATAAAATTCAATTTCAAGCCCAAATTCTTCGGTTTGCTCAAGCCAACACTGAAATCCTTGGGAATTAGGGGTCACTCCTGGCTGAGAGCAGGAATTCCAACCTAAATCAGGAGGAATCCCCAGGATGGAAGGTGAAATTTCCTTTCCTCAGGCAGTCAGACACACCTAAAAACGCAACATTCCTACATCCACCACCCTGGGGGGAAAGAAAATCCCTTCAGATTTAATTCCTTTTTAAACTAAATCAGCAGTTGGCCTTCCATATTTTTCCATATTCCAGTTCAGAGGGTGAATCTTGTTTAAAGAGTGGGAATAAAACCTTGAAAATAAACAACAACAGAAAAAAATCAACCAAACCCCCCCTCCTCCAAAACCCCTCAAAGTTCTAAACTCCATTAAGGCAACTTAATTATTAAAAGGTTCATTAAAAAATGTTTTTTTCCTCTAATTTTAAACTGGTGTCAAGGTGGCAATCAAAAAAAAAAATTAAAAAAAAAAATCTGAATAAAAATGAGTAACTCTGGTGCATTCAGCAGGTCTTGTATCAATTTAAGAGAATTTTAAACTCTCTTTTGCCGAGAATTCCATTAAAATTTTTGTAGTAAAATATTTTTAAACCAATTATTTGTAAAAAAATCAACTAAATCAAAATTGCAGCGGCTGAGGGTCAGCAAAAACGGCTAAAACAACACAAACTTTTTAATTTTAAAGGGAAAATAAATAAAAACACCCAACAGAAGTTTTTCTGCACCTCCCTGCGAGGAATTCTTGGATTTAAAGCCCCCAAATTTCCCTGGAAAAGTCTCTCCTGCTGCTTCATTTGTGCCTTGAATTCCTGACAAGGCCATTTGATGATTCACCTCCTGTTTATCAGGTGACAAAGAAGGAAAATCACCAGGAATTCTATATTTTAATTCCCTTTTTAACCATTTTTTCCACTGTCCTCCAGCTTTCCCTCCTCGGGAATCAATCCCAAACCTGCTGCTCCATCCATTCTTGAATAAAACAGGAATAATTAAAGAAAATAAACTTATTTTCCTCCCCTGTATTTCTGAGCTCAACCCCAGAGCCTGGCAGCAATTTCCTATGACAATTCCTCCCTCTCACGGGAATATTTTATTAAATCATTAAATCCCAAAAAAGACTCGATTTCCTCTGGATTTCACCTTGGAAAAGGAGCCAGGAAGTGACAACACCAGGAAGTTTTACCTGGAAAACTCCTGGACACATCCAACAACAACTCCAGCTCACCTGCTCTGCTTCAGGTGTGCCCAAATTCAACCCCAAAATCCTTTATTCCCCAAGAAATCTCCTCTTATTTTTTACTTTTTTACAAATAAAGCCGGGTTTTCCATAGCAAGTGTGACCCTGAGTGCAATTCTGGGAATAACCTGGAGGCTCTGATCCCTGCAACAACAACAACAAAAAAAAAAACAACTCCTTCTGGCGTTTCCATAACAAAATTCGACGTCAGAAAGCAGAAACCTCTCAGCTCCAACCTTTAAAACAAGAGAAGCCTCCTAAAAATTCACCGAATTGCGTTGTTTTAACAACCTACGGGAGGAATTCAGCCCGGCTGCATCCAGAGTTACTCAGCTCCTTAAGTTCCTTTAGGGAATGAGGAGTAATTAGGTGACTACATCAGAAATGCCCTTTAGACGCGTTGCTACAACAGGAAGGAACGAGGTTTTACCTGAAATTGAGGAGATTTATAAAGCACCTGCGCTGGGAACGCAAATTTAAGAGGGGGGGACAAGCCCTAAGGAAAGGCCTCGGGCCTACCCCGGGCACGCAGCCCTCCCCCCATCTCCCCAAAGCCCCCGGCAGCAGGAAACCCACCTTATCCCGGCTTTATTCCCACCTAATCCCACTAATTCCACCTCATCCCACCTCACCCCCGACGCTGAGGGGACAGCTCGGGGGACGCGCGGCCTGTGGAGGGGCCGGAGCCGGAGCTGGGCCAGCACCCCCCACCACCATCACCACCGCCACCGCCGCCGCCTCCTCTGTCCCTCCGCGTCCCCCCATCTCCCAACAGCCGCCGCCGGGCTCCGAAGCGCTCTATTTACGGTCGATCGGGGAGTTTTACCGAGCCCCCGG